GGGGGGTGGGGGTGGGGGGGGGGGGGTGTAAGACCCATCATGTTGCAACAGCACTTACCTCCTAGAGCTTGTTTCATAACAAAATCCATGCTGCTGGCTTAGGGGTGCTGTCCACCTTCTCACCTCACATGCACAGAGACCAGGAATCCTTGGATGGCAGCCTGTAGAGAGGTACAATCAAAAGAGGAATGGTGTCTTGAGGAGGAGAAGGCTGATGCCTGGTCTTTCTCACCTCTCCTCCCCACAGCTTTCCTCTAGTCTAACTGCAGGCAAGTTTCTAACACCACCCCCCCCCATCTCTGCAGACCCTGGCTTTGCAGGACAAGGAAACCCTGCCACTTAGGGAACAGAGCTGCATGCTGGCGGTTGGGGAAGGGGGCGAGGAGGCGGTAAGGGGACACGGACTTTCGCCCAGGCAGAGCAGGTGGCTGGGAGTCAGCCTGGAGGAGCAGTGCGGTTCTCCTCCCGGCTTGTCTCCTGCAGACGGCCAGAAAGGCGTTAAACCTTTGAACTTTCTCATTTGCCCGCCTGCCTGTCGCCTCTCGGTTTTCGGAGGATTAGCACCGGAGAAGCAGCTCCGCCGGGGACCGCCGAGGGGGCATTTGAAGGTGCCCGGGAGGACAAGCCGAGGAAACTGGGCGACTCGAGTGTGGATACAGCCCGGGCAGCGGGATGGAGAGCACAGATGCGGGGCAGGCTCCCCCAGTCTAATCCCTTAGGAATCTCACCCAAAAAGCCCCTAGCGCAATGCCAGCGATGGCTGCACCTTTTCAGGAAAAGCCGGGACGGCTCAAGGTTGAGATCGGCCGGCCTCAGGTACAGCATAGCAGCCCCACCGCACAGGCTACTGCCTCCCTCTGCTGGCCCCGGCCGCGGGGAGCAGCGGACTTGGCTCCAAGGCACACTGCCTCCCCGCCCGGCATCGGCTCCGGTACCAGATCGCAGCCGTGCCGTGGGGCTGCCCGACCCGCCAGCACCTGGAAGGACGAGGGCTTCCTCCATCCCTATGTACCCGCACCGCGCCTCTCCTCTCTGC